CAGGAGAATCGCTTGAACCTAGGAAGGCAGAAGTTGAAGTGAGCCAAGATTGCTCCATTGCACTCCAACCTGGGTAATAGAGTGAGATTCTGTCTCAAACAAACAAACAAAAACTATTCATAAAAAATTCAGACAACTTATACATGTTTGAAGGCAAAGATTCTTCTTCCTACACACACCCCTACCCCAATCTCATTTCCTTATATAACTCCTGCCACAGTTGGCTGTGACTGCTCCTCTCCTGACCTTTTTCTGGGCATGTACAACGTGTTATCTGTGTGCCCATGCCTGTGCGCATGCTCACATGGCTCACGTTTAGTTTTTGTGGTTTTTTTTTTTTTTTTTTTTTTAACCAATGAGATAATCCTGCATTTCTACAAAACGTTTTTCCACTTAATATGTCTTGGAAGGTTTCTTGTATCAGTGCATGTATCTCTACTTCCACTTTTTGTTTTTCTTTTTTTGAGATGGAGTCTCACTCTGTCCCCCAGGCTGGAGTGCAGTGGTGCTATCTTGGATCACTGCAACCTCTGCCTCCCTGGGTTCAAGTGATTCTCCTGCCTCAGTCTCTCGTGTAGCTGGGATTACAGGCACACATTACCATGTCCAGCTAACTTTTGTATTTTTGTAGACACGGGGTTTCGCCATGTAGGCCAGGCTAGTCTCGAGCTCCTGACCTCAGGTGATCCACCCACCTCAGCCTCCCAAAGTGTTGGAATTACAGGCATGAGCCACCGTGCCCAGCCCACTTCCTCTTTTTAAATGTAACTGTTCCCCTCTCTGTGGCCACTTACATTGCTTCTAATTTCTTGCTGTCACACAAGGTCCTATAGTGAACATGCTCCTCCATCTCTCCTGTGTCCGCAGCATTCTCCTTTTCCTTTGGGGTCCCCTCCTTAGTCCTAAGGCCTGTACTAGCTCCCAGTGTTCATGGTAAATAGACATGACTGTGGATCCCACCTCCAGCCAGGAAACAAGGCAATCATGTTTTTGTGAGCAGGAATCTTATGAGTATCAAATACAGTGAAATCTGGTTTTGATAGCAAAGTTTTGTTTTCCAGATTAATATGTTTTAGAAAAAGATTGATGTAAGTGGTGGCTATCTCCATAATCGTCTGTCATGCATGTTAAAACTGCTGCAAAACACGATGATTAATACTATTTGATTTCTGTAATTGTGAATGCTGCTTGAGTGGGGTTGTTCTGTTACCACTAAGTGAAGTCAGCCTTGTGGTGACCCAGGAAGGGCTGTTGTGGCTGAAGACAGGAGTCCTTTTAGGAATGTTTTCTTTTTGTAACTAATTTGTTAAGTGGCAAAATACATTTCCAGAAAGATGATCCTTTTAGGATTAACAAGTTTCCAAAAGAACAATTTCATTTGAATAAATCAGCTTTTAAGAAACAGCCAAATATTAAATAATTCTGTTCCTAGAAGTTGCAGCTTGAGACAATTATGATTCCATAATTCTACCACTCACACCCACACAATAAGAGATCTAAATATAAATATAAATTATAGGGAATGAGCAGATGGAAACAGAAGGGGATGGGGAATTAAGAATGTAGGAGAGAGAAATTGGTCACATTACCTGCTATGTCTGTCTTGGGGAGAAACAATTTAATTTTATAAGTATTGTTCAAAGATAAGAAAGGAAACTTACCAGATTTTGTTTCTATATTCCAATTTAATTCACTGATTCTTAGCAACGCATCACTTTCAGCACTCTACTGCATTTGATTATTTGGCCCTAGTTAATTTTTTTAAATAGATTTTTTTTTTTTTTTTTTTTTTGAGACAGGGTCTTGCTCTGTTGCTCAGGCTGGAGCGCAGCATTATGATCTCAGCTCACAGCAACCTCCACCTCCTAGGCTCAGTCAGTCCTCCTGCTTCAGCCTCCTGAGTAGATGGGATTAAAGATGCACACCACCATGCCTGGCTAATTTTTGTATTTTTTTTAGAGATGGGGTTTCAGTATGTTGCCCAGGCTGGTCTTGAACTCCTGGGATGAAGCAGTCCACTCACCTCGACCTCCCAAAGTTCTGGGATTACAGACACAAGCCACTGCACCCTGCCTGGATTTTATTTTTAAGCAGTTTTTAAACAGTGAGCTGAGATCGTGCCACTGCACTCCAGCCTGGCAACAGAGTGAGACTCTGTCCCCTGCCAAAAAAAAAAAAAAAAAAAAAAAAAAACCCAAAAAACTTTGAACACAAAACTAGTACATAAATAAACTAGTATTGAAGTAAAAGCAGTAGTCAGATTTATTGTACTTATAATTTTTCATTTCATAAAATTTTAATTTGGGATTTATTCCAGGCAATACAGAATTTTTAATTTTTTGAAAGAGATTTTGTCTCTTCATCCTTTATCCTTCCGGTAGAAATAGTACACAGGGACAAATACCCAGGCTGAATAATTAATTGCCTTTCTTTTCTTTTTTTTTTTCTTTGAGATGGAGTATCGCTCTGTTACCCAGGCTGGAGCGCAGTGGTGCGATCTCAGCTCACTGCAACCTCTGCCTCCCAGGTTCAAGTGATTCTCCAGCCTCAGCCTCCTCAGTAGCTGGGAGTAAAGGCGCCTGCCACCACGCCCGGTTAATTTTTGTATTTTTAGTAGAGATGAGGTTTCACCATTTTGACCAGCCTGGTCAAGAACCCTCGACCTCAGGTGATTCACCCACCTCAGCCTCCCAAAGTGCTGGGATTACAGGCATGAGACAGGGCTCCCAGCCTATTTGCCTTTCTTATAAAGTTACATAATGACATAAGGTAACTTGTCTACCCTACATGCTTTTAGAAAGTAAATGGAATTTCGCAACATTAGGTGCTCATTGTGTGTCTGGTACTGAACAAAGTCTTGGTCCTGAGGAGTGGAAGAAAAGGAAGTTATTTCTGTGTATTGTTGAAGACTTTCTTTTCTAATGGAGGTATAATTAACATGCCATAAAATTCACCAAAAATTTTTTTTAATTGTGGTAAAATACACAGAACATTAAAGTTGCCATCTTAACCTTTTTTTCTCACACTGTTGCCCAGGATGGAGTGTGATGGAACGATCTCAGCTCACTGCAACCTCCCCGCCTCCTGGTTTCAAGCGATTCTCCTGCCTTAGCCTCCAAGTAGCTGGGATTACAGGCACATGCCACCACGCCCAGCTAATTTGTGTATTTCTAGTAGAGATGGGGTTTCACCATGTTGGCCAGGCTGGTCTCGAACTCCTGACTTCAGGTGATCCTCCCACCTCAGCCTCCCAAAGTGCTGGGATTACAGGTATGAGCCACCACGCCTGGCTGAGGACTTTCTTAAAGTGGTTCCTCTTTGCTGGACTGTTGATGTGAAATCCTTCCCCTCCAGCGAGTTCCTAGAGTCGTAGCTCTGGGCTGAACATGCTGTAATGTCTTGCTGATTTTGCCCTTGTCTTCCAGACCATGACCTGGTCGTTTGGATGGAACAGTTCTCTTCCTGTTTACTATATTCGAGAGGAAAAGCAGAGAGTTCTTCTGTATGTTTGCGCTCACACTGCGATCATCTACAACGTGTTGAGGAATAATCAACACCACCTTCAGGTATGCAGGATTTCCTACAGGTAGGGGAGTTGTCTTTAACGTGTGTGTGGTATTTTGTTTTATATCTCAAGGACTAACTTCATTCTCTCACTGTCACATTTTCCCACTCTCCTTGGAACTAAAAGCAATCCTGTCTTTACAAATACATGGTATTGCTTATTGTCTCTCTGTTTCTAATCAGAATCAACTTACAAAACAGCAGTTGACATTAATTTTATAGTTAGAATTTAAAACATCTGTATTTTTTACACTTCTGCAAAAATGTGGACAGCGTAGATCATGTCTCCACAGATATAACACAAAGGGCAGCTATTCAGCAGGGTGCCGACCTCACGGACACTTACATACCTCTCTAGTTTTCAAAGGGCTTTCATCTTATAACTGTACCGAGAAGTGGGTATTCATATACCCATTTTACAGAAGAAGAAACTGAGGCTCAGAGTGATTTAAGTGACTTGCCCAAGACCGTATTAGTAAATGATGTCTCCTGTCTTGAAAGTGTTAAGTAGGTCAGTTGTCCTTTTATCCCTCCCTCCTTTCAGCAGCTTTGCTCATTTTCACCCCTCTCTGAGCCTCCCCGATTTGTCCTTCGTGCCTGCCCTCCTCACAGCACTCCGCTTCCTTCGTTCCTGATATTTAGGACCCAATTCATTTTCATCATTTACCTTTCCAAGCGTCCTATTCCTTGGTGTCTGACTTTCTACTTATTGACCTGGTAAACTGTTCCATATCACCCTTTCAGTTGACGTATGTTGTTACAGGAGTGTCCTTAGCTGATGCCTAGATCAAAAACACCACAAGGTATTTACCAAGGACCCAGTCAATACTCAGTGTTGTGCCAGGGATTCAAGATGTCTGGGTGCAACTTAAGGAATTCAGTCTCTAGAAGTCCAGAAATACGCAGGCAGAAATCACCAGGCAGCTCCCCTTGGAGCTTCACTGAATGCATGGCAGTGAGCACAGTGGTGATGGCAGAGAGAGAAGGAAGAGATCGCTGTGGGCAGGCTCAGATAGTCAGGGCAAGCAGGATGCACAGATGTGCTGGAGTGGAAGGAGGCAGGAGTCCAGCCTCACTAGGGCCAGAGGGCTGGGAGTGGCCTTGACCATCCATTTGTTTCACAAATAGTTTATAGCTGCTATGTTTCAGAGTATAGGTCTGTAGTAATGAACAAAATAGATGTATTCCCTGCTCTCATGGAGCTTACAGTCTAGTACAGAGACAGACGTTAAACAAGTGAACACATAAATGATTACAAATTGTAACCAGTGATTAAAAGGAGATGTGAAAATGCTCTGAGAGAGACAAATTAGGGTAAGAGAAGACTTAACTTTAGATTGAGTGGGCAGGGATTGAAGAGGTGCTGTTTCTGCTAAAACTTGGAGGATGAGAATGACCCAGTCAAAGACAGTCTGGGAGAGAACATTCCAGACGGAGCAACAAGTGTTCAGGCCTATGTGTGGGGCCCGGAAAGAAGGCTGGCATGGCTGATGCACCGTGAAGGTGAGAGAGAAGGAAGGAGGGAAGAGGGGCCATTTCCCAGCAGGGAGTGCTGCCATTTGTGTTTCCAGAAGATTCCTCTCTTGTGTGCACAAAAGGATTATAAGAAGATAAGAGTGGAAGCAGAGGCTGAGCATGGTGGCTCATGCCTGTAATTTCAGCACAGGCCGTGGCCCAGGAGGCTGAGGTGGGTGGATCACTTGAGCCCAGGAGTTTGAGGCCAGCCTGGGCAACATAGCAAGACCCTTGTCTCTACAAAAAATTTAAAAATTAGCTGGGCACGGTGGCATGTGCCTGTAGTCCCAGCTACTTGGGAGGCTGAGGTGGGAGGATTGCTTGAGCCCAGGAGATCAAGGCTGCAGTGAGCCAAGATTGTGTTGATGCACTTTAGTCTGGGTGACAGAATGAGACCGTGTCTCAAACAAACAAAAAGAGTGGAAGTAGAGAGACCAATGAGGAACTTTTTGCTCCAGAGCTGCTCAGAGCCCTGAAGTGAGCAGTGTTCTAGACAGAAGAGGCTGGCAGCGTGACTCAGAGTGGCTGGGGGAGGGGAGGGCCCAGATACTTATCCTCCACTTAGGTTGGGAGTTGCCACGTGCCTTGACCTCTAGGAGCCATTGTTCATGTGGGGAGTTATCTTTCAGGTGTTTGGAGGGAGAGAAAGTTTGAAAATCACCCACTAGGAAATGGAGAAACCCCCAGGAAGGCCAGCAGGAACAGAATTTCCAGCCAGATGAGCATTGAAAGGAGCTCAGATCTCTCTGTGGGGCCTGGCCTTTGCTGATGGTGGCCAAGGCTGGGCCACATCTTGGATGTTTCAAAGCATTTTCTCTCCATTTCTATAGGGCCATGCCAATATTATCTCCTGCCTCTGTGTCAGTGAAGACAGGCGGTGGATCGCCACAGCAGACAAAGGGCCAGACTGCCTGGTGATTATATGGGACTCCTTCACAGGGTAGGCTTTGTGTAGCCACTTCTTTTTTCCCCAAATTTGTGTAGAGTATCTGCCACTGTGTGACAATGACAGAATGAGTAATGCCAATGCCTAGAAATTTGATTTGTTGGCGTTCCACGGTAGACTAGCTTATGCTGACTCACACTAACCTAGCTCACACAAGCTCAAAGCATAACCGAGATGGCAAATCTGTCATTTACAACGAGAAATATTACTTCTACAAGGACAGATTTTCTAGTGGCTGGTCAGGCTGCCTCTTCTGGGCAGTTCTTAATGGTTACTACCAAGTGTTCCTGTCTATCCCTGCTCCCCGTTCCATACATTTCTTATTGGATATGTTCAATTTTGATCTGTTTGCCTGCCATGGTTTTAGGTATAGTAATGATGGGAGACTTTCCAAAGCTGCTGTTTCTCTGCAGTCTCTCTCTAATTCTAACAACCCGCCATTGCCTCCTTTCTTTCATAATGCAGACAGGGTCTCGCTCCATTGCCCATGCTGGAGTGCAGTGGTGCAGTCATAGCTCATTGCAGCCATGAACTCCCAGGATAAAGTGATTGTCCTGCCTTGGCCTCCTGAGTAGCTGGGACCACAGGCACATGCAACCACACCTGGCTAACTTTTTTTTGTAGAGACGAGGTCTTGCTATGTTGCCCTGGCTGGTCTTGAACTCCTGGCTTCAAGAGATCCTCCCATCCTGGCCTCTCAAAGCACTGGGATTATAGGTGTGAGCCACCATGCTTGGCCTCTTCTTAAATATTTTATTTTATTGTATTATATTTTCATAGAGATGGGGTCTTGCTTTGTTTCCCATGCTGGTCTTGAACTCCTGGGCTCAAGCCATCCTCTTGCCTCGGCCTCCCAAAGTGCTGGGATTATAGGCATGAGCCACCACACCTGGCCTCTCTTTCTCTCTTTTTTAAATTAACAGACTTTTATTTTTAGAACAGTTTTAGATTTACAGAAGAATTGGGAAGATGGGATTCCCATATACCCCACACCCAGATTCCCACATTAGTTACATCTCACATTAGTAGGATCAATTTACTATAATTCATGAACATGATTGACACATGATTATTAACAAACATCCAGGATCCCACCCAGGAGACCACATTCGATTTAGCTGTGATGGCTCCTTAGGCTCTGCTTGGCTATGGCAATTTCTTAGACTTCCCTTGTTTTTGATGACTGACAGTTTTGAGGAGTACAGGTCAGGGATTTGGTAGGATCTCCATCTACTGGACTGTTCTGATGGTTTTCTCATGATAAGCCTACCGGCCTTCTGAAACACTCTGGTGTCTAAGAAATGAGTTACAGTGGCCTTCTTAACCTGGGGGTAAAAGGCATGCTCACTTCGATCAAACGTCAGATAAACCAGTCCAGGTGGTGAGGGGAGGTTGACAGCCCACAGACTCTCTACTGGAGCTAGATCTGGAAGGCTGGGGTTCTGTACTCTCCTTGTATCTGCTTCTGTAACTCACTCTCCTCCTTCGCCGGCTGGAGGCAGACTGAATGGAGAGCCTCTCTGGTATCAAGGTTGTCATCCTGTATTGCCTTTCTTCCTAACTCATAAAATTCCACCTTTTCTGGTTCCTTTTCTGATAGTGCATCAGACAAGGAATGGTGGAATTTCCGTGGGCTTGAGCAGTCCTGCTCAAAGTGTGGTCTGCAGGCTGAGCTGATCTGTCAGCCGGTCCTGGGCTATGTTGAACAGAAAGTACAGAAAATGAGAGGGGGCCTTTGGGAACTTTTATAGCAATTTGTTCTTGCTATGGTATTTTTATTTTGTGAAAGTATTTGATCTGGGCTGGGTGCAGTGACTCATGCACTTTGGGAGCCTCCCAGCACTTTGGGAGGCTGAGGCAGGAGGATAACTTGAGGCCAGGAGTCTGAGACCAGCCTGGGCAACATAGTGAGACTGTCTCTACAAAAAATTAAAAGTTAGCCACATGCGATGGTGCACACCTGTAGTCCCAGCTACTCGGGAGGCTGAGGCGGGAAGATGGCTTGAGCTTAGGTGTTTGAGGCTGCAGTGATTCATGATCATGCCATTACACTCCTGCCAGGAGTGACAGAGGTGACAGAGTAAAACCCTGTCTCAAGAAAAAAAATATGCATTGGTCTGCAGTGGAATAAAAGTTTTTAAAAAATACCTTTCACCACAGATAGTTTGCAAAGTGCTGGACAAGAAGATGTCGAGGCAGTTGGGGGATCCTGCGGGACTGAGCACGCCACCTTGTGTGACAGCTCTCAAGCAGGAGGCCGTCTTGTCTGCCGAGGACATTGGAAATGGGGCTGGTAGTTTGGGCTGTGGGATATGACATTGTGTAATCGATGAGAATGCACTAGAGGTCCACCAAATGAAGGGAAGGAGCTGTAGGGTTTCAGGGAGGGCCTGGTTGGGGACAAAAAGCATGAGCCTGAAGTAGATGGTGGGTGGGGGAACGTGGTGATGCTTGTCTAGCCGTGCTGGGCAGAGGGGGAATAAAAACAGGGAATGTGACTGGTGGTGGCTTGCCTGGGTAGGAGAACTGGAAGGGAAGAAGGGAAGGGGCCCAGGGGACTTCAGAGGGACATGAAAGAGCAGGTGGCAGGAGGCAGGTGTGAGTGTGGGCTCTGGCATCCACCTGGGCTTCCATGCCTGCTCGGCCATGGTCTGCTGTGTGACTTGGAGGCCCAAAGAAGAAAGTAACTTTCCCATTGTGAAAAAAGAATAATGATGTCTACTGTTTTTTACTTTCCTTGCTGTAACAAATTACCTCAAACAATATACTCTCTTGCAGTTCTGGAGGCCAGAAGTCTGAAACCAAGGTGTCGGCAGGGTTGGCTGCTTCTGGGGGCTGTGAGGGAGAATCTGTCCCAGGCCTCTCCCCTTGCTTCTGCTGGCTGTGGGTGACCCTTGGTGTCCTTGGCTTGTGGACGCATCCCTTCGATCTCTGCCTCCATCTTCCCATGGCATTCCCACCATGCATCCCTCTGTGTCTTCTTGAGGACCCTGGGCATTGGATTTGGGGCCCACCGTAGTCCAGTACAACCTCATCTTAACTAACTACATCCACAAAGGCCCTGTGTCCAAATAAGGTCATATTCTGAGGTTCTGGGTGGGCCTGAGTTCGGAGGGGCCACTTAGCCCTTTAAATCCAGTGCACAGGATGTTGTGAGGATCGCTGGAGCGCAGCACCAGACCATAATAGAGGATCCTAGATGGGTTTTCTTTCTTAACTCCTGGCCTGAGGCAGAGAGCAGTCAGATTCACTGACAAGACTGTTAGGGCTTAGTTGGGTAGATGGGTGGGAGGGAAGAGTTCAACAAGTGAGTCCAGATGCATGAGGAGGTTAGGAAGAAGTTCTGTTTAATGTTGTATAGTGGGGGACACAGAAACTGCTCTCCCGCAGGTGACCAGTGACCTCCAGGGGATCGCATTACCCAACCTTGATCCTCATGTGACTTGACTTCTCTGTGTCATCTAACACTTCATTTCGTGTGGCTTCTCTGATCTCACATCCCTACAACACATGGCCTTCGTGTCTGGCTTCTTTCACTTAGCATCATGCTTGAAGGTTCATCTGTGGTGTGGCACGTGTCCTTTCTATGGCGGAATCACATTACATTGTATGGATAGACCAAACAATGTATGCTCTTTCATCTGATTTTTTGTTTTGTTTTTGTGTTTTTGAGACAGGATCTCACTCTGTCACCCAGGCTGGAGTGCAGTGGTGTGATCGTGGCTCACTGCAGCCTTGGCCTCCAGGGCTCAAGCAATCCTCCCACCTCAGCTTCCTGAGTAGTTGAGACCACGGGTACATGCCACTGAGCCTGGCTAATTTTTTTCGTTTTTCTGGTAGAGACAGGGTCCTCCTATGTTGCCCAAGCTGGTCTCAAACTCCTAGGTACAAGTGATCCCCTGCCTTGGCCTCCCAACATGCTGGGATTACAACTGTGAGCCACTGTACCCAGCCTCATCTGTTGTTGTTATTGTTATTATTATTATTATTACTGAGACAGGGTCTCACTCTGTTATCCAGGCTTGAGTGCAGTGGCACAATCTCAGCTCACTGCAACTTCTACCTCCTGGGCTTAGATGATCTTCCCATCTCAGCCTCCCAAGTAGCTGGGACCACAGGTGCACACCACCATACCCAGCTAATTTTTTTGTATTTTTTTAATAGAGATGGGGTTTCACCATGTTACTCAGGCTGGTCTCGAATTCCTGGGCTCAAGTGATCTGCCTGAATCAGCCTCCCAAAGTGCTGGGATTACAGGCATGAGCCACCATGCCCAGCTCCTCTGCTTAATTTGTTAAAAAATGATTTTAGGACATTTTAATAGAAAACCGTTAAATTTAATGGTGGCTCACGCCTGTAATCCCAGCACTTTGGGAGGCCGAGGCGGGTGGATCACTTGAGGTCAGGCGTTCGAGACCAGCCTGGCCAACAAGGGGAAACCCCGTCTCTACAAAAGTACAGAATACAAAATACAAAAAAAAAATTAGTCAGGCATAATGGTGCCCGTAATCCCACCTACTCGGGAGGCTGAGACAGAATCGCTTGAACCCAGGAGGCGGAGGTTGCAGTGAGCCAAGATCGTGCCATTGCACTCCAGCCTGGGCGACAGAGCGAGAATTCATCTCAAAAAAAAAAAAAAAAATTAATGAAAACGGATACATTTTCATGGAAAGCACTGGCTGCCATCTCCGATCCTAGTCTTCTTTCTAGAGGTAATCAATTTGATGTGTTTCCTTCCAAAACATTTGCTTTTGTTTTAAACACATGTATATGGATATCTTCATATTGTTTTTCTCCACAACATGGTTGGTGTGATCTTTTCCCAAACGTAAATCTGATTGTGTTGCCACCCTGATTAAAACCCTTTAGAAACTGCCCATTATCAGATCAGCTTATGCTACAGGGAACACGCACCCTGCATTAGGGCCGTGCAGACACTTCCCCCAGAAAGTGAAATGCCTGCTGCCTGCACATGTAGCCGTCTGCAGCTGCTAACATGCTCTCAGCTGCAAGTAATGGCACATCCAACTTAACCACAAGGAAAAGGTATTATCTCATGCAGTAGAAGCCTGAAGTCGGCCAGCAGAAGAGTCGGAGTCCTTCAGGTGTGTCTTGTCTCTGAAGCCTTTGCTGACTGACACCTTCACCACACAGAGCTGCTCCGTTATGATGTTGAGCTGCTGTTTTTTCCTTATTTGTGAAACTGTGTCTCTACTAGACACGAAGCCACTTGAGGGCAGTGATTTTTTTAAAAAATTACACAGTAAAGCATATCTGTGGTTAATAATGCAAATGCTATGTTAATATGAATTTTATGATATCCCAAGTGATTACTTTGGGACCCAGAAAAGATTATTCAGAGGCTGTTTTGGTTTTAGGATTAGTATTCGTTTTATTAGTGATAAATTAAAAACCGTAGTTCTTCCTCCAGTTTTTCGCTTAACTTAAAAATCTTACTCTGTTTATAAATCTAGCATATTTTTGCAATCACCTTTGAGGAGGCTTTGATTAATGTTTGGCCCCACTTACACATTTGGTTATTAACTCCTTTTAAACATTTAAAACTGCATTTCGATACTTAAGATACTCAGTTTCATTAAGTTTTTTAGTAGTCTGATTAACAAACAAATCCTTCATAGTACTTAATTACTGCAAATCTAGTAAATTAGACATAAATATGGTAAATCTTAAGTTTCCTTAAGTGTTCTAATATTGCCTATAAACCTATTACGATTTTAATTTAAAATCACAAATCTAAATCAACTACATATTTTAAATTAGCATCACAAATCTAATCTGTTAGCAACTCTGAGGTATGTCAAATTCACTTAAACATTACAAATTCCTAAAAAATGAACAAATTCTCTTATCACAACTATGTGAATAATGCAGGTCTGACTGACTTCATCTTCTCTATATTCAATTCCAAGTATCTCCAAGGATAAGATACATTTTCTCACTAAGGACTTCACTGTGTTATTTCCAGTCACTTTGGGATTGCCTTCGCAGGTGAATTTTTGGGGCTACTTCTCAGTGGGATGAAGTTTCTCAAGTGACAGAGAACCAGAGAAGTCCTCAGCTGGGACACAGACTTGATGCCAGCCAGTTGGGACCCTGGTGTGACGTACAGACGTACTGAGGCCTGTTTATCTTCACTGTATCTAGGACTCCATAATCAAAAAAAAAAAGAACCATGCGGCCTGCATTCCTGGTTTAAGTCTTGCTACCACCCTCTCTTCATTCCAGTGGGAATCAGTGGACCTCCCCCAACCCAAGCATTACAACTTCCATCTTCGCTTCCACTGCTTCTGTGCTTTGATTGTCTTAGATACTTACGTGTCATCTAATTCTGGGTATTTCAAGGCTGTGTCAGAATCATACAGTTCTAAGGTCTTGTCAGTAACACAGTGTGGAAGTGTAAGAGCAAAAAATAAAAGTTCGTCCTCACCCAAACCCCATCTCCAGAGGAACCATTGCTTACAGTTTGCAGTCTATTCGTCTGGAGTTTTTTCAATACGCGCACACACACACACACACACACACACACACACACACACGATTAGGATGATGCAATAATTGTTTTGCAATTTGCTTTTTTCACAAATTTTGGTCACTTTCCCAATCTACCTCATTCTTTTTGAAGGCAGCAAAGTTTTTATTTTTATTTCTATTTTTAATTTTTATGGTTTTTTTTTTTTTTTTTGAGACAGAGTTTCGCTTTTGTTGCCCAGGCTGGAGTGCAATGGTGTAATCTCGGCTCACTGCAACCTCCACCTCCCCAGTTCAAGTGATTCTCTTACCTCAGCTTCCTGAGTAGCTGGGATTACAGACTCCTGCCACCACACCGGGCTAATTTTTTGTATTTTCGGTAGAGACGGGATTTCACCGTGTTGGCCAGGCTGGTCTCAAACTCCTCACCTCAGGTGATGCACCTGCCTTGGCCTCCCAAAGTGCTGGGATTACAGGTGTGAGCCACCACGCTGGCCTTATTATTTTATTTATTTATTTATTTATTTATTTATTTATTTATTTATTTTTGAGGCAAGGTCTTGCTCTGTCACCCAGAGTGCTGGGATTACAGGTGTGAGCCACCACGCTGGCCTTATTATTTTATTTATTTATTTATTTATTTATTTATTTATTTTTGAGGCAAGGTCTTGCTCTGTCACCCAGGCTGGAGTGCAGTGGCATGATCTTGGCTCACTGCAACCTGCACCTCCTGGACTCAAGTGATCCTCTCACCTCAGCCTCTCATGTAGTTGGGCCCACGGGCGCATGCCAGCACGCCTGGCTAATTTTTCTATTTTTGGTAGAGACAGGGTTGTGCCATGTTGCCCAGGCTGATCTCGAACTCCTTAGCTCAAGCAATCCACCCTCCTCAGCCTCTCAAAGTGCTGGGATTACCAGTGTGCAACACCGTGCCCAACCTAGTTTCTTATCATGTGGTTATACTATAATATCTTTTCAAACAATTCATGTGTGGTATATTAAGGGACATTTGTGTTGTTTGATTTTTGCTATTAGAGTAGTACCACAATGACTGTGAATTTTCATTGACCTTTGTTTACTTTTTCCATGGTTTCCCTAGGAAAAAGTCGTAAGAGTGGAGTGACTGGGCGGTAGGGTGTATGCATTGAAGGTTTTGATAGGTCCAGCCAAACTGCTTCTAGAAAGGTGCTGCTCCTTTGCATTCCCACCTATGCAGGAGAGTGCCTGATTCCCTGCGAGCTGGGATGTTGTCCTAGACATCTTTTCATACTTACATCCTTCCTGCCAGGCACAACCTGGCACAGAATCAGTGCCTGGTACCTTGTGAATGAGAAACTAGAGCTTGTGAAGAGGGCAAACAGCAGGCCCATTGCCTTGAGTTAGGCTTGACTACTATTGTTGTTGAGGTTAAATTCACATGACATAAAACTGACCATTTTAAAGCTTGCAGTTTGGTGACATTTAATACATTTACACTGTTATGCAACCATTATCTCTATCTAGTTCCAAAACGTTTTCACCACCCCAGAAGGACACCCTGCACCCCATTATCTGTCTCCATGGGTTTGCCTATTCTGGCCATTTCATATGAGTGGACTCGTACACTCTGCACCTTTCGAACCTGGCTTCTTTCACTTAGCATCGTTTCCGAGGCTCATCCATGTCATATCATAGCATGTGTCAGTGCTTCATTCCCTTCTATGGCTCAAAAAGATTCCACTGTATGGATAGATCACATTTTGTTCTGTTTTGGAGAGGTTTGGGCTGAGCTCAGACCTGCCCTGGGCCTCTCTGGGAAGCCAGGGAGACCTCAGCAAGTGTCACCCCCCTTGTCCTGTTTTGCAGTATTCCTGTGCACACAATATTTGACAGCTGCCCCGAAGGGAACGGCATCAGGGCCATGGCCATGACCCATGACGCCAAGTATCTGGCAACCATCTCAGATGCTGAAGTCCAGGTAAAGGCCCTGGCCCTTTGGGTCAGCTTCAGCGAGCTGGCCGACCTGTCCAGTGTGTCCCCGTGGGCAGCTCTGTTCAGGCTGCATGATGTGTGTGATGTTCTCAAAAGACCAGACTCCACAGCACAGAGTCCGGGCCTCTGTCCTTAGTTACTTGAAGTTTTGGGGTCACCACAAGAGGTGTAAGTTACTTTAGCAGACTTCAAAGAACTTCTCATGCCCCTCTCTCTGCTGTCACCTACAGAAGGTGTGCATCTGGAAGTGGACTTTGGCAGTGGAAACACCAGCATGCACTCTCGAACTCCCCAAAGAGTACGGTGTTCAGGTGAGTTCCACTGGAGCCTGTAAACATCAACTAAAGTTATATGGGTGCCAGGCCAGGCTGGGCGTGGTGACTCACACCTGTAATCCCAGAACTTTGGGAGGCTGAGGTGGGTTATCACTTGAGGTCAGGAGTTCAAGGCCAGCCTGGCCAACATGGTGAAGCCCGTCTCTACTAAAAATACAAAAATTCCCTGGGCGTGGTGGCACATGCCTATAGTCCCAGCTACTTGGAAGGCTGAGGCATAAGAATTGCTTGAACCTGGGAGGCAGAGGTTGCAGTGAGCCAAGATTATGCCACTGTACTCCAGCCTGGGTGACAAAGTGAGACTCCATCTCAAAAAAACAAAAACAAAGTTCTACTGATGCTGGGCCAAAACCTACTTTTTGTTTCAGGGGAGTTGTGTTATGCTGCATAACAGTGGTTTCTTTTTTTTTTGAGACAGAGTTTCGCTCTTGGTGCCCAGGCTGGAGTCTGGAGTGCAGTGGCACGATCTCGGCTCAACACAACCTCTGCCTCCCAGGTTCAAGTGATTCTCCTGCCTCCCAAGTAGCTGGGATTACAGGCGTGCACCACCACGCCTGGCTAATTTTGTAATTTTTTAGTAGAGATGGGTTTTCTCCATGTTGGTCAGGCTGGTCTCGAACTCTCAACCTCAGGTGATCCGCCCACCTCAGCCTCCCAAAGTGTTGGGATTACAGGCGTGAGCCACCGCGCCCGGCCTCAGTAGAGCTTTAAAAACCCTTTCATTTCCTGATTCATTTTACTTGACTATAATAGCTAATATTTTTCAAGCACTTATGTTCCAGAGTCTGCTAAATTCTTTACTTACATTATCTCACATAATCCATGCAAACATGCTAGCAAAATAGATATTAATATCTGTGGAATACTACCATTAATTATTAAATACTTTGTCTAAAATCACCCACCTGGCAGTCTTTCTTATTCTATAAGTGTGCTTTTAACTGCTTCGAACCTTGTAAAACTAACTCTGAGGAGTATAGGGAAGTTATTATTATTGCTCCCAACTTACATGAGGTGACTTGCCAAGGACACCCAGCAAGTTTCCATCAGGTCTCCTTATTTCCTGGGTCGCTGCTCCCTGCTGTTGTGACTTGTCTCATTCATCCTTGCATGCTTCATTTGTCATACATTTATCGAGTACCTGTTCTGTGCCAGGCACTGTGATAAGTACATGCCTAACTTGCAGGATCTAAATCCCAGAGGGTTTGGGTGACTAGACTCAGCCAGGGAAATATGGTTATGCAGCCATATGTCCATCTTCTTTCCTTTCCCCCCAATATTCCTCTTGCCCCTAAAAAAATGTTTCTTCCTCCTGAAGGTTGTGCTAACACAGTAGCCACCAACCATATGTGGCTATTTAGGACGAGTTTTTCTATTGCTGCAAAAAACGCCATTGGGGTTTTGTTTTGTTTTGTTTTGTTTTATTTTGTTTTGTTTTTTTTTGAGACGGAGTCTTGCTCTGTCGCCCAGGCTGGAGTGCAGTGGCCGGATCTCAGCTCACTGCAAGCTCCGCCTCCCGGGTTCACGCCATTCTCCTGCTCAGCCTCCCGAGTAGCTGGCACTACAGGCGCCTGCCACCTTGCCCGGCTAGTTTTTTTGTGTTTTTTTTTTTTTTTAGTAGAGACGGGGTTTCACCGTGTTAGCCAGGATGGTCTCGATCTCCTGACCTCGTGATCCGCCCGTCTCGGCCTCCCAAAGTGCTGGGATTACAGGCTTGAGCCACCGCGCCCGGCCGCCATTGGGGTTTTGATAGCGATTTTGCATTGAATCTGTAGATCACTTTGGGTGGTGTCATCGTTTTCACAGCGTTGTCTTCTAATCCATGAGCATGGGACACCTCGCCATTTATTTATGTCTTCTTTAATTTCTTTCAGGAATGTTTTGTAATTTCCAGAGCTCAAGTCTTCACCTCCTGGTTAAATTTATTTCTAAGGATTTTGTGTTTTTTTGATGCTATTTTTAATGGATTTGTTTTCTTAATTTCCTTTTTTAGATTGTTCATTGCTAGTGTATAAAAAGACAGCTGATTTTTGTGTGTTGATTTTGTACCTTGCAACCTTGCTAAGTACACATGGTGATTTAAATTTAAAATTATTAAAACGTAAAAAATCTTTTTTGAGACAGGGTCTCCCTGTTGTCCAGGCTGGAGTATAGTGGCGCAATCCCAGCTCACTGCAGCCTCTGCCTCCTGAGCTCAAGCAGTCCTCCTACCTCAGCCTCCTGAGTAGCTGGAACTACAGGTGCACACTATCATGTCCAGCTAATTTTTTAATTTTTTACAGAGACAGAGTTTTGCCATGTTGGCCAGTGTGGTCTCCAACTCCTACGCTCAAGCCATCCACCTACCTCAGCCTCCCAAAGTGTTGGGATTACAGGCGTGAGCCACCACACCCTGCCCTCTTCTTGCTATGCTTTCTTCTTGGGTATTGTCATCTATTCCCAAGGCTATTTACTTCCAAGACATACCCTAAAATCTTCCCTCATCTCTCCACCTCTGTTGCTACCGTCCTAGTCCAGGCCACAGTCACCTCTACCTGCACCATCTGGCCTGCTGGTCTTTCTGCTTTCACTCTCTCTTCACTCTCTAACAATCTTCCCACAGCAGTCAGACTGTTTTTTGTTTTGTTTTATTTTCTTTATTTTCTTTTTTTTTTTTTAAGATGGAGTCTCACTCTGTCACCCAGGCTAGAGTGCAGTGGTGCAATCTCGGTTCCTACAACCTCCACCTGCTGCTGCTGGGTTCAAGCGATTCTCCTGCCTCAGCCTCTCGGGTAGCTGGGACTATAGGCACGTGCCACCATGCCCGGCTAATTTTTTGTATTTTTAGTAGAGATAGGGTTTCACCATGTTAGCCATGATGGTCTCGATCTCTTGACCTTGTGATCCGCCTGCCTTGGCCTCCCAAAGTGCTGGGATTACGGGTGTGAGCCACTGTGCCCAGCCAGAGAGTTATTTTTAAATAATTAAAATATTGCATCACTCCTGTACTTAAAATCCTTCAGTAGCTTCTCATTGTCCTCAAAATAACATTAAAATTCCATGACATGTGGCCTTCAAGGTGTGATCTGATTCCTGCATCCATCTCCTAATGTCTACCATCCTGATTATTGTTCATCAGTTTGCTTTTCCTAGAATTTCATGTATAATAAATGGACTCCATTTACAGAGAGCTTTGGTTTCTTTCACTCAGTTTTGTTGTTGCACGTACCAGTAGTGTATTCCTTTTTATTGTTGAATAGTAGCGCATTGAATAGGTACGTAACCTTATTAATTCATTGTTCATGGACATTGGGTTGTTTCCTGGTTGTGGCTATTAAAAATGAAGGTGCTGTGAATGTTCATGGACAAGTCTTTATTTCTGAAGGAGACTTTCCTTTGGTATAGAATTCTAGAGTGGTAGTATTTTCTTTTGGCACTTCATATCTTCAAGGAGTGATTCTGTTGTCTTCTGGTTTCTACTGTTTCTGTTGAAAAGTTAGCTGTCAATCCCTGTTTTGAATGTTGTGTGTCTCTCTCTTTGGCCCCCAGCTGCTTTTACAGATTTTTCCCTTGGTTTTCAGCAGGATTTTTTTGTTGTTGTTGTTATGTTCAGTTTTTGAGACAGGGTCTCACTCCATCACCTAGGCTGAAGTGCAGTGGCACAGTCACCACTCATTGCAGCCTTGACCTCTTAGGCTCAAGTGATTCTCCCACCTCAGCCTCCCAGGTAGCACCACTACACCTGGCTAATTTTTTTTCTTTTTTTGTAGAGATGGGGTCTCGCTGTGTTGCCCAGGCTGCCCAAACTCCTGGGCTCAAGTAACCTTCCCACCTCAGTCTCCCAAGGTGCGGGGATTATAGGCGTGAGCCACTGCTGCACCAACCCCAGCAGCTTTTCAGTGATGTGTCTATGTGGATGTGGGTATGTTGTTGATTTTTTTTTTTTTTTTTTTTTTGAGACGGAATCTCGCTCTGTTGCCCAGGCTGGAGTGCAGTGGCCGGATCTCAGCTCACTGCAAGCTCCGCCTCCCGGGTTTACGCCATTCTCCTGCCTCAGCCTCCCCAGTAGCTGGGACTACAGGTGCCCGCCACCTCGCCTGGCTAGTTTTTTGTATTTTTTAGTAGAGACGGGGTTTCACCGTATTAGCCAGGATGGTCTCGATCTCCTGACCTCGTGATCTGCCCGACTCGGCCTCCCAAAGTGCTGGGATTACAGGCTTGAGCCACCACGCCTGGCCTGTTGTTGATTTTTGTAAAGTTTATCCTTTAGGATTTCTTGAACCTGGGATGCTATATCTCTTCTCAGTTTTGGAAAATTCTCAGCCAGTACCTCTTTACACATTTCTTCTGCCACATTCTTTCTTTCTTCTCCTTCTGGGGCTCCAATTACATATATGTTAGACCTTTTCTGGTCTTGTCCCACTGGTCTTTTATTTTCTTTTCTGTATTTTCTATCCTTTCATCTGTTTCTGCTTCAGTCTGGGTGTTTTCTACTATAATTTGTCTTCCTTTCCTGCTGATTCGTTCTTTCTTTGGCTATATCTAAATTTTTGTTAAACTGTCTATTGAGCATTTTAAATCATTTTTTCAGGTCTAGAGTTTCCATTTGATTCCTTTTTTAAGTAGAGCTATCTGCTGAGATTCCCCATCTTGTCCTCTACTTTCCTGCATGTTAATCCAGTGATTGTCACGTCTGTGTCTAACAACCCCAATACTCGGATCTCCTGTGGCTTCTTTCTGCCTATTGCTTTTTCCCCTTGGTTTTCAGTCATTTGGATGGGTCTTTTTTCTTTTCTTTTCTTTTCTTTTTTGAGATAGGGTCTTGCTCTGTTGCCCAGGCTGGTCTTGAACTCCTGGCCTCAAGCAATCCTCCTGCCTCAGCCTTGCAAAGTGCTGGGATTCCAGGCATATACCACAGTGCCTGGCCTGGATGTATCTCTTTAATATGCCTTGCTATTTTTTACTGAATGCCTGATGTTGTGTTTTTTAAAGTGTAGCAATAAATTTGAGGCTCAAGATGACTTCCTCCAAAGAAGACTGACTTTTGCTTCTTAAAGGCACTTAGCAGAATGGTTCAGCTTAATCAGAGCTTGAGGTGGTTTGAGGCTGATTTTCAGGCTTTGTCTGCTTCATGCACTTGCTTTTGCCAGTTCCTTACCCTGCCCGGGCTTTTGTGCTGTTCTGATATGAATTCTCAAACACTGGCATTGGCAGTTTACACTCCTGTGGTATGTAACATTCATAAAATATTTGGAAAATGATAGGTAAGGAATAGGCGTGGAGACGGGGTGGAAATGGTAGAAATGGAACTTAAAAAGCTTTTCTCCAGCCTGTCCCTCAGTGCTGTCTCCTGTAGCCCTTCACCCCAGGCTGTAGCCACCCACCTCCCATGCACATTTCAAACACATACCCCGTGGCTCCCCAGGAAGAGCTTGCTTTGTTGTTCTTGCTGTGACTGGTTTGTGTGTTTAAAGTTTCCCTCACTTCCATAGTTTCTGCAGGGTTGATTTTTGGGAAGGGAGCCAGCAGCCCATGCTATTCACCATCTTGGCAGGAATTAGAATCCCCTTCCAATATCTTGCATTCATTCCAAGATACTGTGTGGCCCTGTCAACTTTAGAAATGTATATGCAGCAGTCTTTAAAAGGATACAGAATAAAGGTTATTGGTGAATACCGGTTTACTTTTGCTTGTTCCAATTTGTTTTATTATTATTATTGTTATTATTTTAAATTGATCACTGTCAGAAAAGCTTGTTACAGCCAGGTGCAGTGGCCCACACCTGTAATCCCAGCGCTTTGGGAGGCTTAGGCGGGTGGATCTCTTGAGGTAGGGTTCGAGACCAACCTGGGCAACATGGTGAAACCCCGTCTCTACTAAAAATATAAAAATTAGCTGGGCATGGTGGCACATGCCTGTAGTCTCGACTACTCAGGAGGCTGAGGCAGGAGAATTACTTGAACCCAGGAGGCGGAGGCTGCAGTGAGCTGAGATGGCACCACTACACTCCAATCTAGGCGACAGAGCAAGACTCTGGCTCAAAAAAAAAAAAAAAGAAAAGCTTGTTCCAATTTATGGATGATGAAATATAATAGATCAGACTGGAAGGGGAACACATTTGACACTATTTATTTTACCAGTATTTAAATGATATTCCTATTTTTTACCAAATGCTGTATCTTTTCTGTTTTATATTCCTACTCATTTGTGTGTGTGTGTGTGTGTGTGTGTGTGTGTGTTTTGAGATGGAGTTTCGCTCTTGTTGCTCAGGCTAGAGTGCAATGGCGCGACCTCTGCTCACCACAACCTCCGCCTCGTGGGTTCAAGCAATTCTCCTGCCTCAGCCTCCCGAGTAGCTGGGATTACAGGCATGCACCACCCTGCCTGGCTAATTTTGTATTCTCAGTAGAGATGAGATTTCTCCATGTTGGTCAGGCTGGTCACAAACTCCTGACCTCAGGTGATCTGCCCGCCTCGACCTCCCAAAGTGTTGGGATTACAGGAGTGAGCCACCAATTAAGTAATAATTGGTATTACTACTCCTGTAATACCAATTATTATTTAATAATTTAATTAAATAATAAATTAAATTATTATTTAATTTTAACATTCAGCTTAACCAGAAACAGAAAATTTATCATTAATATATTTTCATACTTTATATTTCAGAACTACCTTACTTTTAACCCAGCAAATAATAAAGAATTGGTGAGCAATAGTAAAACACAGGCAATATATTATGCATGGGTAAGTAGAAATATTTTGATTTGTCTTAAATGTGGGTAGAAGTATGTGTTCATTCTTTGAGTACGAATGTTTCAGTGATGTAACAATATAGTATCTCTACTTAAGAAGCAATGAATATATATTAAAATGTTTTTATTTAATTATAGTGTTTAGTCCCATTTGAAATTAGCGTATTAAATCAGAAGCAAATAATTCAATTTTATTTATTAAATTTTATTAAAGCAATGAGGCAAATGTTTATTTGAATTTATTTAACAAGACTAAAATACAAGTTTTGTGGTTTTTTTGGAGACAAGGTCTCGCTATGTTGCCCAGGCTGCCTCAGACTCCTGGGCTCAAGTGATCTTCCCACTTTATCCTCTCAAGTAACTGGGATTAGAGGGGTGAGCCAGCCATACCTGGCTCTAAAATACAGATTTTTTTGAGACCTTGGTCTTTTTTCCCTTTTAGAAAGGAATTAGCAAACAGATGAGTGATACATATACTGACACAGAGCCAAATCATGAGAATAAAAAACATTGAGGCTGAGCACAATGGCTTGTGACTGTATTTCCAGCACCATGGGAGGCCAAGGCAGGAGGATCACTTGAGGCCAGGAGTTTAAGACTAGCCTGGGCAACATAACAAGACCTCATCCCTACAAAAAATTATTTTAAAAAATTAACAGCGCATGGTGATACATGCCTGTAGTCCCAGCTGCTCAGGAGGCTGAGGCTGAAGGATTGCTTAAGCCCAGGAGTTTGAGGCTGCAGTGAGCTGTGATGGTGATGGTGCCACTGCACTCCAGCCTGGGCAACAGAGTGAGACTCTGTCTCAACAAAACAAAACACAACAAAACAAAAAACGTTCCAAGTTAAACATGGAATAACTATGTGACTCAGCAATTCCAAGGTAAGATGTAAAAGAATTGAAAAGAAGCATTCGAACAAATACTTCTACACAAACGTTCACAGCAGCAGCAGCGCTATATGGTTATTTGTAATAACCAAAAGGTAGAAACAAGCCAAATGTTCATCTACTGATGATTAGGTAAACAAAATGTGGCCTGTCCATACAATGGAATGTTATTGTATGAAGTACTGATACATGCTGTGACATGGAGCAGCCTTGAAGGCATGATGCTAAATGAAAGACCCCAGACATGAAAGTCACATGTTGTATGATGCCATTTCTATGGAATGTCCAGCATAGGCAAGTCCACAGATACAGAGGAAACTGGTGGTTTTCAAGTCCTGGGGAGAGACGGAGTAGCTGCTTAATGGGTAGGAGATTTCCTTTTGGGGTTATGAAAATGTCTTGGATCTAGATTGTTGCTCAGCATTGTGAATGTATGAAACACTACTGAATTGTACACTTTATGATTAATTGTACACGTTATGATTAATTTTATGTTAAGCGACACTTTAACGTGGTTATGATTAATTTTATGTTAAGTGAATTTTACCTCAATAAAAAATTGTAAAGCAAAACCAAAACACATTGAATCACTGATTGTCAGTGACAGTCATTATTTAAGATATTTATTATATCTTTTTTTTATTTTATTTTTGAGATAGGGTCTCACTCTGTCACCCAGGCTGCAGTGCAGTGGTGCGATCTCAGCTCACTGCAACCTCGGCCTCTCAGGTTCAAGCAATTCTCCTGTCTCAGCCTCCCGAGTAGCTGGGATTACAGGAACCTGCCACCACGCCTGGCTAATTTTTGTATTTTTAGTAGAGATGGGGTTTCTCCGTGTTGGCCAGGCTGGTCTCAAACTCCTGACCTCAAGTGATCCACCCACCTTGGCTTCCCAAAGTCCTGAGATGATAGGCGTGAGCTACCATGCCCAGCCAATTGTGACTTTACTTAGTACTTAATACAAATTCGAATTATCTATTAATAAGGCTTTAAAACTTTAATAAATACCTTAAGGTTGGCCGCGGTGGCTCACGCCTGTAATCTCAACACTTTGGGAGGCTGAGGAGGGCGATTCACCTGAGGTCAGGAGTTCGAGACCAGCCTGGCCAACATGGCACAACCCCATCTCTACTAAAAAAAAAAAAAAAAAAAAAAAATTATCTGGGCACGGTAGTGCGCTCCTGTAATCCCACCTACTCAGGAGGCTGAGGCAGGAGAATTGCTTGAACCTGGGAGGCGGAGTTTGCAGTGAGCTGAGATCGCACCACCGCACTCCAGGCTGGGCGACAGATGTGTTTCTGTTTAAAGACACCTTATTTAGTGTATAACTCCATCTCAAAAAAAAAAAAAAGTCATAATCATTTGTGGTATTTTTTATATTGTTTAATGTATTTGCTTTTCTTTCAGAATGTTTTTAGATATTTCCCAAGGCAGCAAGTTCTCTCACCTGTAGAAAATGCACATTTCTGACCTTGTTTAGATGTATTTGTTTTGGTTTTATTATTAATATAGTTCTTCCTTTGGAAACTGGGTCTTTTTGAGTAGTGATTATTTTTTCCTCTTATCAGTATGAAGAGAGGGATACACTGGCTCACAGCGCCCCACTTTTAACAGAAAAAGTGAGTATGCCTGTTGCATTTTTGTCCTTCAGATTTTGTGGAGAATAAATATTTATGTGTAAACTTAGCTGCTTCGGGCTACTCTTTGTACATCTTGACATTAAGCTACTGGGAAATAATTGGAAAAATTTTACTTGGGTCCCGAATACATATTGAATTGTCGGTTGAAAATAATGGAAGTATTGTTAAAAATAAAATGTTATAAAAAGAGTTACTGCCGTGAGAAAATATAAAAAAGTGATGGCTTTTAGAATGTGTATGTGCATATTGACAAGGAAGGAAAGTTGCGGGGTGCAGTGGCTCTCATCTGTAATCCCAGCACTTTGGCAGACCGAGGTGGGAGGATCACTTGAGCTCAGGAGTTTGAGACCAGCCTGGGCAACACAGGCTAGACTTTGTTTCTACTGAAAAAAAAAAAAAAAATTACCAGCCAGGGTGGTATGAGCCTGTAGTCCCAGCTACTCAGGAGACTGAGGTGAGAGGATCACTTGAGCCCTTGAGCCCAGGTGATCGAGGCTTCAGTGAGCTGTGTTTGTGCCACCGCATTCCAGCCTGGGCAACAGAGTGAGACCCTGTATTTAAAGAAAAAAAAAAAAAAAGAATAAGCAGAGTTTTTGAACGTGAGTGGATCCCTTATAAAGCTGCTCAGTTTCAGAATAATACATGATATTAGGTATTTAGATGTTTAAGAGCCAATAAGAGGGAGATGAACCAGATGTTGAGAAAACATTTTATCTTGCTTGCTTACTGCAAGCTCTTGTGTCTGAGGTGGAACTTGAGTCGTCTCCTGTAGCATATTCTGCATTTGCTGCCCATGTAACTTGCGCTCAGGGAGCACCTGATGATGAGTTTCCTGGATACTTGCTTCTGTCTTGGTATGATTTGTAGAAATTTATTTCTTAAGAGGGCATGCCAAAAGACAAAAACAGAAAATAAAAAGTTGAGACGTATGGGCACAAGGAGATTATTCTGTCTGCAGACTTGTTTTTCATAAATGAAAGTACTAAAAAATACTGTCAATTCTCATTGTTGTTGGTAGTTATGTTCTATAAAGTCTCTGCAAACACCAAATTAGCAGATACTAAATTATTGCTCTTAAGGGAAATATAGGGTAGGTTTCTTTGAGCCTCTGGTCACATTTTCACCAACTAACTGATCAATACATAACCTTGTTTTATGTGTATTCATGTTTAAAGACATTTTATTTAATATATAACATTGATTCATTAACATTGAGCTCATGGCCAACAGCACTGTAACTCATGACTTGAATGAAACTCATCTAACCCACGTATTTTCTCCATAAGGCACATCATAGCATTCTTTTGCTTAGGAACACTAGATAGCACTTCAGCACTATGTTTGGGGGTCAATTTAAATACGAAAATCACCAAGAAAAAGCACCCAAAAATGCAAACAACATGGCACTAAATAGACCATGAAAAGGACACTTGTTTATAGTCAGAGCTGAGACAAGAAGGCAGAGCATTGCCCTGCTTGCCCTCAACTGGAAATGTGCATGTTGAGTGAGTAAAATTATTTGTCACACTGCACATGCACTTCAGCAAATGACCGTGAGAGTGCTGCAAGTATTGATTTTTGGATTACAAATCAATTCTTACAAGTAGTTGAATTTGCAAATACAGAATCCACAAATAATGAGCCATTTGAAATGATAAAAATGTGTTGAAACAGTGCTGCTCTTAGAAAGAACTTGGTGCTCTTGTTTGACTAATTATTATTTACTATTCCTCTTGTGTTCACATCAGAAGAGGTAAACCTTCGGATCTTCTCTGTATTATTAGAGAATTGGGCAGCATAGAGAATAGGGCATTTCTGTGTATAGTGCTTAAATATTTTCTACTGATGGGAAAATACCTTATGATCAAAGGAGACTGGGAGAATTATCTTATGCTCTTTTATAACCAGAGCATGCTTTGACTCACAACAGGCATTAGTTTCTTCACCAGTCTCTGAAACCTCCATAAGAGAAATTTAACAGGTATAAACAGTGAATAACCACTCTCTCATTTGCTTTAAACAAACAATGTAATTGAACAGAGTACATAACCCTTCACTTGCTCTTAGCAAACCTCCAGAGGTTCAGAACTGCCTGGACCATGGCAATCCACGGGAGATGGTTTTAGTGATTGTTTTCTTTTTCTTTCTCTTTTTCTCACTATATTTCAGCATAACATTATAAAATATCGTGTTGATAAATGCTTTGTTTTATATTTATTACCAACAGTAACTATAACCTTTCTTTTGAAACACAGACCTTCAACAAGCTTGTGGGAAAGTTTAGCCAGTCCATCTTTCACTTGAATTTAACACAAATACTCTCAGCAACAATGGAAGGGAAGCTGGTTGTCTGGGACATACACCGCCCACCCTCATCTGCCTCCACCTTTTTGGGCTTTCCCTATATCAAGCCTTGTAAATTGGTTCATTTGCAGAAAGAGGGCATCACTGTGCTTACTACAATTGATAGGTAATTTTAACTTAATTAAAAGGTAGCTATGGATGATTATAAAAATATTTAAAAATTGTTATGGGAGGTTGGGCATAGTGGCTTACACCTCTAATTTCAGTTCTTTGAGAGGCTGAGGTGGGAGGATCACATGAGGCCAGAAGTTCGAGACTAGCCTGGGCAACACAGTGAGACCCTATCTCTACCAAAAAACAAAAAAGAAAGAGAGATAGGAGGATTGCTTGAGCCCAGGAGTTTGTCAGAGCGAGACTCTCCTGTCTTGAAAAACAAAACAAAACAAAACAAAACCTCTTTTGGATGTATATGCATATTTTGTATATGCATAGGGTATTCTGGGGAGAGTCATAATGAACTGGGAAGATTGGTTGCCTCTGAGGAAAATAACTGAGAACTAAGATCAGGGATCGGGGGTGGATTTACTTCTTTTTATAGTTCCATTTATACTAATTGGATTTTTTAAAAAATCATGAGCATGCATTATGTTAAAAAAAATCCCTTTGTGTTGGTGAAACAAAAAGGAACTAGATTTTTTCTTCTGTGCTATTTGGATAGATTTTGCATGCAACATTTTACATGCAGTAAATGTAAGAAAATAATTTGAATAACTATATTGTTTTTGTCTGATTACAAAATAACATTTACAGTTCGGAGCGGTGGCTCATACCTGTAATCCCAGCACTTTGGGAGGCCGAGGCGGGTGGTCTCAGGAGTTTGAGACCAGCCTAGCCAACATGGGGAAACCCTGTCTCTACTAAAAATATAAAAATTAACCAGGTGTGGCGGCATGCGGCTGTAGTCCCAGCTTCTCAGGAAGCTGAGGCATGAGAATCACTTGAACCCAGAAGGCAGAGGTCGCAGTGAGCCAAGATTTCACCACTGCACTCCAGTCTGGGTGACAGAGCGAGACTCAATCTCAAAACAAAACAAAAATATTTACCCATTGTGAGAAGATCAAATGCATCAGAACGTAATAAAATTCACTAACTCTGATTTTGAGTGGCTGTGGGGACTCACAGATGGTCATTAAGTCCTCAATTAGGACAGGGTTCTTATTTCAGCTGGGTCCCTTCCTTACTGAGTGACCTTGAGAAAGGAACTTAATCTTGCTGAGCCTCTATTTCTTCATCTGTAAAATGGGCATAATGGTACTGTTTCTCTCAGAGTGGTTTTATGAGGATTTCACGAGATAGGGATGTAAAACTCTTTGCACATGCTTGGTGCAGGGGAACCCTAGGTAAATGGCAGCCATCATCAGTGTGTGAGAGAAGTTCTCGAAGGTGTGGAGAAAATTGCCTAGTGACAGGGACCCTGCCCATATGGTTAGAGTCACTGGACCATCTGCTTTCAAAACGCCCATTTGCTTCCATTTGCCTTTTGATGCAGGGGAACAGTGAGATCTTGACATGGTTTTACAAAGAGAAATGCAAATTGTCACCCTCACTCAGTGGAGTGAGAAGATAGTAGAACTGCAGTTGGCCATGATGCAATCAACCTTTACTCGGTTGGGGGTTAGGATCCAGTGAAGACCAGGCCTGAGTTCTCCAAGTTAATAAAACCCAGTCAGGATCTGTGAGTCCAAGAAGGAAAAGGTCTCTGAAAATACTTGGTCAGTATTGCTGCTTCTGTCCAGCAGAGGGCAGTGGCAGACGTTCAAGCCAATTACTCGGCCCACCTGCCTTGCTTATTAATCAGAAACCTCATTTAACCACTCTGCATATGTAAGAGAAAATCCTCCTCGTCTGCCCCCTGTGATTAGAATTATGTCAAAGTCTTTTTTAAAAAGCCCATTTGGGATGGATCTGAGGACTGGAAATGAAAGCCATTTTGTCACGTGGCACTGCCTTCTGCTGTGATGACTGGATAGGGTTTTATGATCACGCTAACAGTAGTGCCTTCCTGTGAAGTGCTAGTGTCCCATTGCCAGCTTGCATGATTTTGGAGGACTGGTGGAGCAATTCTCTCCATGGTCATCTGTAGTTATATGGGGAGTGTAAATCCTTGTCCGCCGCCATTGTGTATGGCTGATCTTGGCGGGCAGGGAAGAACCTAGCAGAGAGCATGGACTTTGCTTTAGACATACCTGGGTTCCCTGCATAGTCAAGCCACATGGCCCTGGTAAAATTGCCAGGTATAAATATGCCCCATGCAATATTTGGGATATACTTAGGCTAAATTTTTTGTTTGTTTGTCTATTTTGTTTTTTGTGACGCAGGTTTGCTCTTGTCACCCAGGCTGGAGTGCAGTGATGCAATCTTGGCTCACTGCAACCTCTGCCTTCCGTGTTCAAGCAATTCTCCTGCCTCAGCCTCCCTAGTAGCTGGGATTATAGGTGCGCACCACCACACCTGACTAATTTCTGTATTTTTAGTAGAGGCGGGATTTCACCATGTTGGCCAGACTGGTCTCAAAGTCCTGACCTCAGGTGATCCACCCAATTCGGCCTCCCAAAGTGCTGGGATTACAGACATGAGCCACCATGTCCAGCTACACTAAATTTTTTTATACAACTATTCAAATGTAACTGGGTATCTGTATTGTTATCTGCTAAATCTGGCAACACAATGCCCTGAGCAAATTTCTTAACTCTCTGAGCGTTAGTTTCCTAGATGTAAATTGGGATAACAGTAAAATCATTCTCATCAGGCAGTATTAAATTAAGTTTTTGCAATGCCCCAGAATCCAGAGCCTGACATATAATTAGGTATTATATAGATGCTACTTGTTATTATTGCTATTTGCAAAACTGATGTTATTCTCCATTTCAGCTACATTGTCACAGGTGACATTAAGGGTAACATTAAGTTCTATGATCACACCCTGTCTATTGTTAACTGGTACAGTCACTTGAAACTGGGCGCCATAAGAACTCTGTCCTTTTCAAAGACCCCAGCAACCCCTCCTACCGAAAAATCAAACTATCCTCCTGACTGCACTTTAAAAGGTGACCTTTTTGTCGTAAGGTAAGTTGTTAATGAATCTAGTCACTAGAATGGTTGAAAAATGATCACTGTCTTCTTTAGTTTGCATGCAGTGGGAGGTTCGTGTTGTTCCTGGGATATCTCCCTGGCTGATTGTGATAACTATTGGATCATTTAAAAAATTAATGAAACATGACTTTAATATTAAGACTCTTTAGTAACTGGAAGCTGGAAGGTCCTGATCCCTGAGCTCTCACCTCTGTTGAGTCTGGAGTCTTTGGCTAGCCACTGCGGTTAAAGGCACTGGATAATTAATAGCCATAACATTTCAAGACCGAATTATCTGAGAGTCTGCTTAATTACCCTTGCAGTATTTACAGGCACATCTGTATGTGTGCACCAAACTCCATATTTGCATACACAAATGAATATTTGCATGTGCAGATTAGCTAATTGTACAACTGACTGTCCATCTGCATACTTAATGACTCAATTTACATGGAGAAAAGTGGGCTTTTTCACTTGCAAATGGAGGCTGTTGGGTATTGGTGGTATATTTTTGGAAATGTTGGGTTAATAATGTCACTAAATTACAGACGACAGAGGCGTTTTATGTGCAATTAGAAGCAGAATAGCTGGCATGCCCCATTCCCTGCAAACACTGATATTGTTTGGTCTCTCCTTGGCAAACAGGAATTTTATCATTGGAACATCTGATGCCGCGGTGTACCACTTAACAACAGATGGGACCAAACTTGAGAAGTTATTTGTAGAGCCCAAGGATGCCATTTGTGCCATCTCCTGCCACCCCTATCAACCCCTCATTGCCATTGGGAGCATCTGTGGGATGATCAAAGTGTGGAATTATGAAAACAAACAATATCTTTTCAGCAGGGTTTTTGAGAAAGGGCTTGGAGTCCAGAGTCTGACCTACAACCCGGAAGGTATTTTCATCTTATCAGCCTACCATCGGTTCCACATGGACAGTCCCGAAAGGGATGGATGCACCTGGGCTGGCATAGCTCCAGAAAGTCTCCCCGACTCCAATCCCCAGCAGGCTGGATGAGGCGCCTTCTCTCTGGGGCTCCCATGGTGTTCTGGGCCTAGTGCTCTCTGCGCGTCTCTGTGCGCTAACCCCAGGAGATCATGCGTTTCGGTTCATTTCTCTGCACAGGAGCTTTGTTGTGTTAGTTACTGTCTTCTCCACACCCAGAACAAAGCCTGGCACAGACTCAACATCTCTTGAATGAACGTAATCCTTTTCCATCGTTGTTCTCTGGCTTGTCATTTCAGGAGCCCTTCTTGGAGCTGGTTTTACAGAGGGGACAGTTTACATTCTTGATGCAATGTCTTTAGAAAATGAAAGCCCAGAGCCTTTCAAATATTCCAGAACCAGTGTGACTCATATAAGCTTTTCCCATGACTCCCAGTATATGGCAACTGCTGTAAGTATTTTCACGGACACGCATCCAGTGGCTTAGCAATTTTATGTGAAACCAAAAGAGGCCAGACATAGTGGCTAACACCTGTAATCCCAATGATTTGGGAGGCTGAGGTGGGAGGATCATTGGAGGACAGGAGTTCATGACCAGCCTAGGAAACACAGCAGGACCCCATTGCTACAAAAACATTTTTTAAAAATTAGCCAGGCCTTGTGGCACACATCTGTAGCCCCAGTTATCCAGGAGGCTGAGGCGGGAGGACCCCTGGGGACCAGGAGTTTGAGGTTACAGTGAGCTATAAGGCAGTTATGTTGGTCTGTCTTTATGTTGGGAGGGGAAAAGCAGTGGTCTTCACTAAACTCCTGTCCCTTCCAGCGCTCTCCGTCTCCACGCTGGTGCGGCCACTCCTCTGGTTTGTGTACACAATGCTTCTGAAGACAAAGCCATCTCAGCACACTGTGGGCACACACAGTCCAGCCTCTGTGTCCCCTCAGGCCAGGCTCCCACTCCGACCTGGTTCACTCGCAGCCTTCATACCTTTCAAAGACACATGGCTTTTTTATTGTATGTAGCTGGACAAAGAAACGGGAGGACAAAGGCACAAAGAATCAGGCTTTTGCCTTTCCACAGACAGCGAGGGAAGAGTGTAAGACCATAGTGTCACCTTCATACTTTTTCCCTGACTACCTTTTCAGTTTTCTGCTTTTAACTTTACTTTTCTTGTCTGTAAAATGGGCATTAGGCCAGGTGTAGGTCACACCTGTAATCCCAGCACTTTGGGAGGTCGAGGCAGTCAGATTGCTTGAGGCAGGAGTTTGAGACCAGCCTGGGCAACATGGTGAGACCCCATCTCTACAAAAAATAATGAAAAAAAAAAAAAAAAACTAGCCAGGTATGGTGGTGTGTGCCTGTAGTCCTAGCTACTTAGGAGGCTGAGGCTGGAGGATCTTTTGAGCCCAGGAGACTGAGACTGCAGTGAGCCGTGATCAGGCCACTGCACTCCAGCCTGGGCAACAGATCAAGACTCTTGTGTAAAAAAAAAAAAAAAAAAAAAAAAACCTAAAATGGAAATTGTTTTACTATTTGCTTGAATAGACTAAGATTTTTTTGAAGAAAATATTCTTAGTATTTTTTTTTGATAGGGTCTTGTTCTGTTGCCCAGGCTGAAGTGCAGTGTTACAATCTTGGCTCGCTGCAAACTTCTCCTCCCAGGTTCAAGCAATTCTTGTGTCAGCCTCCCAAGTAGCTAGAATTACAGGTGTGTGCCACCACGCCCAGCTAATTTTTGTATTTTTAGTAGAGATGGGGTTTTGCCATACTGGCCAGGCTGGTCTGGAACTCCTGACCTCAGGTGATCCACCTGCCTCGGCTCCCAAAGTGCTGGGATTACAGGCATGAGCCACCACACCCGGCCCATAATGATGATTCTTAATTTGCTAAACGTAAAACGGGATAACTCCTTCTCTTTTGCTCATCTTCAGGATAGAAGTTTTACTGTGGCTGTTTACATGCTGGTGGTCAGAAACGGACAGAGGGTCTGGGAGTACTTAGCAAGACTTCGTTCTCATCGCAAAAGCATTCGAAGTCTCCTGTTTGGGGTTTACCTGGACAGCAATGAGCCTAGACTGCTGAGTCTTGGGACAGACAGGCTCTTGGTGAGCTATTTACTTTTCGTTGACCTGGTCACCAGGACTGTGTCTCACTCTTGTGACATCCCTGGCATATTGCATAGAGCCAGGCGCACAGTATGTGTGTTTGTTGGAGAAAATGAGTGCACAGTGAAGGATCACAAACCTCTCCAGGTTGGCATTTTGCCTTAACGTGCCTGGGACACCACCTGGGGATTCCTGTTCTGGACGAGGAGGCTTCCGGGCAGCAACAAGTCAGAAGGCAGGGAGCGGGGAGTTCCCCACAGCGTGGAAAGCAGCCGCCCTTGCCTCCCAGTGTGCATGGGGAGGGCCGACACTCACTAACACTGTCTTCGTGTCCAGCAGTTGGGGTCAGGCTGCTACCTAAATATGAAAACTAGGAGACGTTGTGAGATAAGAGGAAAAGGTAGGGACAGTGGCAAATGCGATATTACAGGGTCAGGTGAAATGGATTCAAAATCAACCAGTCAGTGTATCTGTCTGTTTTTCCTTCCTTCCTCCCTCCCTCCTTTCCTCTCCCCATCTCTCCCTCCCTCCCTTCCTTCCCTCCCTTTCTTCTTCCCTCCCTCCCCCACCCCTCCCTTCTGTCTCTTGCCTTCCTTCCTTTATTCAGTTTATCCATTCATTCATCCGTCTGTCCATCCATCCATCTGTCCATCCATCCATCCATCCATCCATCCACCCACCCACCCATCCATCCATCCAACCATCCAACCATCCATCCATCCATCTATTCTGCCCTGCCTACGAAAACATACCTGTATGGACCCAGTTCAGCGGCTGCTGATTTGCGATTGCCAAGTGCTGGGCTGAGATTTAGATGAATTAGTTCCTAAGATAATAAGTGACACAGTATAACAGAACTGTAAGATGTTAGGTGTGGGAGTCAGCTGGATCTAAATGTGAATTTTTGAATTTTTACTTTGCCACTTTTTAGCTATGTGACCTTGGATAAGCCACTCTGACCATCCTTGAACGTCTGTTTCCTCATCTGTAAAATGGGCACAACAGTACTCCTTTGCAGGGAAGTTCTGAGGATGACATGACAGATGTTTTTGGAGCACTCAGCTCATTGTCTTCCGGATAGTGAATTCTCAGTACTGATGACTTAGTGTCGGTTCTAGGCAAGTCTTCTGTTAGGAGACCTGATGCCATATCCTGGAGAACAGCACTGTTGCTGATAATTATAAAGGCTGTCACCCAAGAGCTAGGGGCTCTTTAGCTGAGCCTTTAATTTGGCTCGGCCCTCATGTGTGTCCATCTGGGCTCCTCTGCAGATAGAGTATGATCTTCTCAGGAGCTACAAAGACTGCCTGGAAGTCCTGGACATTCACCGCACAGACCAGGGCTGCTATCCCACCTGCATGGTCTGGTACCCACCACTCACCAGGGAACTCTTCCTGCTTATTTGCAACAGTGGCTACAAAGTGAAGCTTTTTAATTCTACCACCAAAATGTGCAGGTAAGCACCCGCAGCTTCCCACTGCAGGGGGTGTGGATCGAGTTCTCTGCCCCCAGCCTGTTTCAAGTCTCTATGCAGGGACCTGCAAGCAGCTTGGCTACTATCATCATCCTCTTTGCTTTGCAGAGGAGGAAACTGAGGCACAGATAACGTAAGTAATTCTCACCAAGGTCATGTGGCCCTGTGTGGAGGTGAGATGTGCAGAATCCAGGAAGGACACAGCCCTGGGGCCCTGGGAAGGTTGCTGATGCTGCCTTCTGTTCTCCTCTCGTTAGGAAAAACATAGTTTTACCCAGCTACTAACAATTGTTTGATTTTTTCTTACTCTTGGGTCTCAAAGGAGTTGTAACTTTAATTGCTAGCACTCCTTTGTTTACACCCTGTGTGAGCCAGGTACTGTTTTAGGTGCTGAAGACAAGGATGAAAACAAAACGGTTTCCATCACTGTGTAGTTTACATGTTGGTGGGGGGCAGGTGATGCAATAGTGTGAACAAGTAGCCAGGTAGTAGGTAGGTGGTAATCAGGTCTGTGTAAAGAAAAAAAAAAAAAGGAAAAGGCAGGATGAAAAGATGGGGAGGCAGGGAAGGCCCTGGAGAGCAGGGGACATCTGAGCATCTGAACAGAGACTTGAAGAAAGCGAGGGGCTGCCGCCCGGTTGGAGGAAAAACAGTGGATCAGCAAGGGCCGATGAGTGAAGGTGGGGGGCGTCTAGGGTTTGGGAAATGCTGCGAAGGCTGGCGAGGCCAGAGTGGAATGGGCAAGGAGGGGGTGTGGGAGAGCGGGTCAGAGGTGCGGGCTGGTGCCTGGCACACGGCACCCTGGAGACTCCGGCTCTTTCCCAGGTAAGACGAGAGCTAGTGGAGGGTTTTGAGCAGAGGAATGACATGTTCTGATTGATTCTTTACAATGATGTCTGGTTTCTGTACAGAGAGCAGACTCTGGGGCGCAAAGGTAGAAGCAAGATTGGGGAAACTGATGTGACAGCTGATGGCGGCTTGGCCCTGAGGGCAGAAGGGAGGGTCAGATTCTGGATGTGTCCTGCCGGCAAAACAAAATGGAGGGAAAAGGAGGTGTGAGGGAAGACACCTCTCGAAGCCATTGGAATGGACTGGGCCTTTAAAGAGATGAGGGGGGCAACAGAAGGAGAGCTTCGAGATACACCGGGGCTCAGACTGCACAAGGCAAGCTTCACATGCCTGCTTGACATTCGGGTGGGAATCCACGAAGCAGGCTCTGGAGTGTGGAGGTCCTGGGAGAGGCTGGGCTGCAGTCAGGAGCACAGGATGGTTGAAGGCATGAAACGGGGAAGACACTAGCGGGGGAGCAGGGCGTCCGCATTGGGGGAGCAGGGCGTCCGCATCTGGGGAGCAGGGCATCCACCGCCCAGCATCCTAGAGCGGCGTCTCCTCCCTCCTGACACCATCCTGCGCATGCCCGTGGGCCCCTGTGCTTCAGCCCCTGTGAGCCGTCACAACAAACACCGTCATCCCGTTCCCTCGTCCACAGCCCTGCTAAGTATTCTCCCACTGAAGAAGTTGGAAGGGAGACTGTTTCAGTGATCCACCACAGCCGCCACCACTGCCACTGCCACTGCCACCACCACCGGAAGAAGGAAGTCGGGGAACTGGCCGCAGCTGGCTCAGGCTTGAGGACTATCATGGTTTTGAAACGTATCTCAGATAAGACAGGTCCTCAAAAGGCCAGGACTACCTGGGATGTTTTGTTGTCGTTGTTGTTGTTTTAAACAGTTCTTTCCCAGAAGGCACAAGAAAAAATGACTGAGAAATGCCATGTTTTATGGTAGGGAGAGAAATCCAGGACAATTTTCTTAAGCGATTAAAACACTCGAAAGCATGTGTAAAGAGGAGCTTTAGAAAGACTTCAGAGTCATTGTGCATAGTTTTTAATGAACACATACTTTTTGGACAAAGAATATCTCTCGGATACGCGCAGTCCTAAGACACTGAACTGGCAGAGCTGGAGAATGAGGGCTGGCAGACCTTGGGCCTGAAGTTCCTGCTAATGGTCATTCACTGGAGGAAAGAGGCAGGAGGGACTTTTAGACACAGAGTTGGGAGCTTCTGCCTATTGATCAATCTGAAATTAGCATAAAGCAGCTTAAAAAAATTTATCAAGGTGATACTTATGTAACATAAAATGAACCATTTGAAAGTGAACAGTTCAGCTGGGCACGGTGGCGAACGCCTGTAATCCCAGCACTTTGGGAGGGACCGAGGTGGGTGGATCACCTGAGGTCAGGAGTTCGAGACCAGCCTGGCCAACATGGTGAAACCTCATCTCTTACTAAAAATACAAAATTAGCCGGGCATGGTGGCAGGCGGCCTGTAATCCCAGCTACTCTGGAGGCTAAAGCAGGAGAATCGCTTGAACCCGGGAGGTGGAGTTTGCAGTGAGGCGGGATTGCACCAACCACTTTACTCCAGCCTGGGTGACAGAGCAAGACTCTGTCTTAAAAAAAAAAAAAAAAGAAAGAAACAGTTCCATGGCATTTAGTACTCACAGTGCTGTGTAACCCCCACTCTAGCTTCAGAGCATTTCCATCATTCCAGAATAAAAGCCCTTGAATAAAGCATCTTTTAAGCTGTAGGAATAAGGAAACCTCATAACCGTGGCTTAATTGGGAAGGAATTGTCTTTTCATGATAAATCCAAAAGAATTTAAAAATGCATTTAAAAAATATTTGAAAGAACATGAAAAGGCAGTTCACAGGAAAAGGCCAATAAACCTATGAGCAGATGCTCACTAGCATGTCAAAGATGCAAATGAAAACAAGATATCATTTTTTCACCAATCAGATTAGCAAAGATAAAAATGATTGATAGTGCTTAGCGTTGGCAAGAGGCTAGGGAAACGGGCACTCTCATCCGCTGCTGGGGGCGGGTGTGAATCAGTGTAACCTTTTGGGAAAGCAATTTGTCACCCTCTATTAAATTTTATCATATCTTCTGACTTCTAGGAATGTAGCCCACAGAAGTACTCACACAGTATGCCAAGACATAAGTAAAAGGATGTCTTGTTTGAAAATATTTTTAAAAATGGAAACAATCCAAATGCCCATTAATAGGGGATTAGTTAAACGATGGCTTGTCAGTACACTGGAACACGATGCTGCTTTTAGAAAAGAAAAAAAGAGAAAGAGTAAGACAGCTCTCTGTGTAATGACATGGAAATATCTCAAAGATGTAATATGAGATAAAGCAAATTACCAATGAAACATGAATAGCATAATTCTATTTTTATATAAAATTATAATTACAAAAGAAATTCTTGAGTCATTTACACCAAACTATTACTCATGATTATCTTGGGATAGGGTGCAGCAATGTGGAGATATAGATTTTCTCCTTCTTCTTCTTTTTTTTTTGAGGCAGAGTCTCACTCTGTTGCCCAGGCTGGAGTGCAGTGGCATGATCTCGGCTCACTGGCTCACTGCAGCCTCGACCTCCCAGGCTCAAACAATGCTCCCACCTCAGCCTCAGGCCACCAAGCCAGGCTAATTTTTCGTAGAGACAGGAAACTACTGTATTGCCCAGGCTGGACTCGAACTCCTAACCCCAAGCAATCCTCCCACCTTAGCCTCCCACAGTGCTGGGATTATGGGCATCAGCCACTGTGTTCTGCCCAGGACCAGAGTCTTAAAACCTATGTTGAGATTTATGGAATTTTTAAAACTCAACTATTCTCTTCACTTCGCCTCTCTTTTCTCTTTTCTTTTCCTTCTTCCTTTCGATGGAGTCTTGCTCTGTCGCCCAAGATGACGTGCAGTAGCATGATTTCACTCACTACAACCTCCACCTCCCAGGTTCAAGCGATTCTCATGCCTCAGCCTCCTGAGTAGCTGGGACTACAGGTGCGCACCACTACACCTGGCTAATTTTTTTTTTTAGTAGAGACGGTGTTTCACCATGTTGGCCAGGCTTGTCTTGAACTCCTGACCTCAGTTGATCCGCCTGCCTCAGCCTCCCAAAGTACTGGGATTACAGGCGTGAGCCACCATGCCCCATCCATGACCAAAGAGTCTTTTTTTTTTTGAGACGGAGTCTCACTTTGTCACCTAAGCTGGAGTGCAGTGGCGCAATCTTGGCTCACTGCAACCTCCGCCTCCTAGGTTCAAGTGATTTTCCTGTCTCAACCTCCCGAGTAGCTGGGATTGCAGGCGCCCGCCACCATGTCTAGCTAATTTTTGTATTTTTAGTAGAGACGGAGTTTCACCATATTGGCCAGGCTGGTCTCAAACTCCTGATCTTGTGATCTGCCTGCCTCGGCCTCCCAAAGTGCTGGGATTACAGGCGTGAGCCACTGTGTCCAGCCTGACCAAAGAATCTTAAAACCTATGTTGAGATTTGTGGAATTTTAAAAACTCTTTCTCTTTTTGCCTTCAGAAAGACGCTTATGGGGCCAGCTTATGGTTCCCCTATTGAGCAAACACAAGTCCTCCCAGTGAGAAGCATGGCAGAGCTACAGAAACGCTACTTGGTGTTTATTAACAGAGACAAGGTAACAGCACTCTCTTCTCCAGCTCTGGGAGTTGACTCTGTGTGTCATGAGCAGCAGTCATTACCGAAGATCACGAGACTCAGAGAGTTCTGGGTTTACAGCCAAGCCCAACTGCTTCCACCCCGGTCAGCTGTGATACTGAAAATTGCCCTTGATGAGTTAGGAAGACTCTTGGGAGACATTTCTGAGCAGAGTTACTGCATTTTCTATATTCCCAGTGAAGATACATGGGCCACCAAAGGATTTTCCTTCTTATTTATTTATGTGGAAAAACTCTTATAAAAATATGTAAATTGGCTGGGCGCAGTAGCTCACACCTGTAATCCCAGCACTTCCAGCACTTTGGGAGGCTGAGGCTGGCGGATCACGAGGTCAGGAAATCAAGACCATCCTGGCTAACACGGTGAAACCCCGTCTCTACTAAAAAT